AATGCCGTGTGCTGCGCACGGTCGCGTGCGCGAGCTATACGCATGATTACGCACGATGTGCGTGCATAGTGTACTTTGTGCACTCGTGACTTAACATGACTTCGAAATTAAATCCAAACATTCTTAACATTCAATAATTAATCCCGATTAATAATGTCCGCTTATAAAATAAACGGTTTGGAAATTAATTATCGAATTTGACTCGGTTAATAATTAACCGGATTGACTTTTCGACTTAACGTCGAACGTATTCGCTGAAAATGAACGGAATTAATAAAAGATAATACAGAATTTATATTAACAAGAAGTTGGGTTATTACATGGGAGGCGTGAGCACAAAGGAATCAACGGTGCTCCACCGGAACCGACAATGAATACTCAACACAATTAATAACAAACTATGAAATCAACATATATATGAATAAACTGGTCTAATTATGGGACTAACGGTAAACCAGTACTCATGTGCACACTCTGGAGGTCCCCTCCCACACAAATCTAGGCTGGGCATCGTCCAGATGAACTTAGGCTGGGCATCGCCCACTCATCTAAGTCATAACTGACATCTGACATCTTGACCAAGACGGGATCACTCATCCATCTCGGACCTTCAATTTAATCACATATAGACCTCAGACATAATAAATTATTAAAACTGATGAAATACAAAGTACATGGTCCCCACCTGGAAACTGGCGAATGCAAATGCTGAAACTGAAGTAGGTAGCTGACGGAGGCTCGACTCTCCTCAAGCTACAAAATATATTGAGCGAAATATTCTAAGTACTGGGCTCAGAATAAAACTCAAATCTTTAACATCTTATTGTTTAGGTTCGCTCACTCTGCTTTAAAAATCATTTTAAGGATTTACGAGCTAATTTTGAAAATATTATTGTCTTTGAATCATTCTAGAGTTCTCTGAAATATTTCTATGCCTGAAACTAAAATCTGAATTAAATCTAATCTGACTGAAATCTAAACTATATATGGATCTTTAATCTATCTGAAATCTTAACTTAATCTAAAATCTTAAATATATCTGAAATCTTAGTCTGACTGGATCTGAAATTTATCTGAAAAATATCTGGAATTTATCTCGAACCATCCGGATTGATCGGACCGGTTCGACTTAACTGGACCGACGGCTCACTCAGAGCCGGTCGATCATTCGCTTGACTATGTGCAACTCGGTTTGACTGTGGTTTGAGTTTGGTGTGGCAACTCGGGCCGGCACGAACTCGACTGACACGGCTTAGCTGATGCACGGGTTTGAAATGGTGCCACGGTCACTGACGCAGGGGCGCGCTTGGACCACGGCTAACGGATATGGTGTGTAGTCGGTCGGTCAGATGTACTCGGTGCACGGGCACGCACTCGGAGGTTTGACTTGGACTCGGTGCACGGGCACGCACTCGGCGGTTTGACTTGGACTCGGTGCACGGGCATGCACTCGGCGGTTCGGCTCCAACGGTCGGACTAGAGTCGAGCACGTGTGCGAGACGATGATATGCGTTAAGAATTATTATTATGACGTCTAAAGTTATTCAAACGGTATTAGGGTTCGGTCAACTATATTCAGATCCGAAAAAATACCCAGTTATCGGAATCAGATAAACTAGGGTTTTGATTCTCGAAAATCCTAACTCATTTAAGACCGATATTTAATATATAATTTCTATGTGATTTTTAATGAATTTATAATCCACAACTGCAACTAAAATCGCAACCGAACTAATATTCTATATTTATCACATTAGCGACTAAAGTCCCGATTTTAAATCTAAGTCAAACGGTATCCAAAATTCATGAAATTCAAAACATAACATCTTCAACACAAACATGATCTACGGTCAAAATAACAAGTCTAAACTCAACCCCTAGACTAGTCAACTCAAAATCGCTACAACCGGTCAACACATTTGACCGACTCGTTTGTCTATCAAATGAAGTCCGAAAATTTTCAAATTCTCACCTAAGCCTCAAGACAACGCAATGAAATTCATGATATTTATTTCGACATTTTATCACATTCATTTAAAACGTCCCGATTAATCGCTTCAAGCCCGAAAATCTCGATTTAATCAAAATCACTCAAATCAACATTTCAATTTTTCTTATCTCATTTATATCATCAAGTCTAAACCATAAAAATCAAGTTTTAGCTATTATACCTCAAAATGTTCGAAACGAGCGGATCGGGAATAGATCGGGCTAAGAAATGATGGAAAATAGAGCAAATCGGGTCAGATTAGGGGCAGTGGGCCTTGGATCCGGGTCAGCTGAGTCGGATTGGTGCAGTCCAAGGCTAGCTCGTGCACGTGGAGGCTCACTAGTCGTGGTTCCGATGCAGCTGGGCGCGAAGGAGCTGTTTGATGCGAATGTGGGTTTCGACCTCCGACGACGAGAAGGGCCAAGAGCCGAGACGACCCGAAGAGGCCGATAAAAGGGCCAAAACCACGCATACATGGCCTAAACGACGTATATGAGCCCGTATACGAAGGTGCGCAAGAGCGTGAAAGAAGACTGTCACAAGACGGGCAACAATCGGGTGCAAGAAAGGGTGCGAACACGCGCATTGGTGAAGATGCGCGCGGACGAGACCACGCCTCGGACGGATGCACCATCGGAGGTTTTGGGATGCTTATCAAAGGAGTGAAACCTGGTGGGCATGGCTAAAGCACCGGGTGGCTCAAAAAAATGGAAGTCAAGCAAGTCGGGTGCCCAACGGGTGCAGCTCGCGCACATGGGCGCGCTGGCGCGCAGTGGCGCGCAGTGCCATGCTGATGAAGATGTGGTCATCGATTCTAGCGAGCCCGAGGACGAGTCCTTGCATAACTTCAAAATATGGCTTGAAAGCGGGCTAGAGGAGTCGCAAGACCGAGAGTATTTGCCAGAGTATAGGCGAGATTGGCCGAGAGGCTGTGGGAAGAGAGCACGAGCACGCTCTA